GAATACGAATTAGCGCGTATCGGCGACATGATAACAGGGGGAGAGTTCCGCGTGTTCCTTCCGCGTGTAGATGAAGATTTTCAGTGGCTGCCGCTCGGGCGTACGAATGGACTGTTAATTTCGTGTTACGTTCCCGAGAAAGAGCAAGAAGCGAACATTAAGTTTTACTCGAGCGAGATATTTTTCCATTCGGATGGAAGCAGACTGAAAGTGAAGATTCTAGTTGAAATTGATACCCGATAAAATTATTCAATGAATGAAAGGTAAATTTCTTTTTTTCACTAGAAAGAAATGAATAAAAGAGTGACTTACTTTTATAGGATTTTTTTGTTTTAAATTGTGCCCTTTCCACATTTGCCGTTTATATTTAAACTGTTAACGATAATTATTAGATGACGATTAGAATTTTGTGACATGTGGAACTCTTATGAGTGTATTTTTTTCCAAGCAATTTCCCGCGATTGAAAAAATTCTCGCTTTTTCTCTCACCCTTGATCGAAACTAATCTTTCCGATAAATTAACTCATCGTCACGCGCTAAAACGGCTACGACAGCTGATACACGCGTAAAACCCTAAAACGACGTCGATCGCGACGAGTCCTCCGCAGGCGGGTCTGCGCCAGTAAATATCCGATTAATTGACGCCGCCGAATCGCCGATTTTCAGCGTTATTGTCAGTTAATCACTGCGATGAAGCTTAGACACGCATCGGAGCGTGTAATTTGCGCGATTTTATGGGACACTTTGGTCTCTGCATAATAATTCCATCCTAAACCGAAGGGATAGTAGAAGGGAGAAAGAGAGAGTAAAACTGAGAGAGAAAGAGAGAGAGGAGGGGGGGTCCATCAGAGGGGGTTTAGGGAAGAGGCAGTCGCCGATAGGGAGGGTTAAGGGGTGGGACTCCGGGAAATACAGGCAGTTGAATTTGTATAGCGACTTTCTGCAGGAAGGGAACTGAATAATGGGCGTAGTTTTTAACGACAAATTTATGTTCCGAGCACGCGTTGTATCTCAAAGCGATTATCCGAGGTGTCAAGAAGTATTCACGACTGTTTGGTTCGCCGGAACCGCCTTCGAAATTACCCGCGTGTATTTGTAGACATAAATAAATATAACGAAAAATATAGAAATAATAGTGAGCAAGCGCGGCAAGCCCCACTTTTACTCGTTGAAAATTTCTTCAATGAATTTCTGTTATTAATTACAACGATATTCATGCCGCATGGTTTATTAAAGCGAGGGATATTCGACAGATAAGCTTGCCACGCAACGGCGAAGGCAATGATAGGTGGCACAACTAGGATTTAATATTTCGCGATCGCACGTGGCATATGGCATGTTCCACTACGCTTATCGGGGCTAACAAATTATTCGGAATAATCCTGCGAAACGGTGTTTAAATAAGAACAGGCTTTTATTGCCACTCGAATCACTCCGGATATCGACACGGCAAACATTTCGGAAGAAAACTATCCCTAATAACAGAAAATACGAACTTGATACGGAAAATAATTGAAAAAAAATTCCATAATATCAAATTGTAAAAATTACGTTAATTAAAGAAAAGGGACACGAAGGATGTTGAGAGAATTCATAATTCATCGTTAACTTTTGCTCAACATAACTGAATAATTTATAGTATGAAAGCAGGAAAGCTAAAAACAACAAGATAAATAGATGACAAGATAAATAATGATGTAAAATAATGTAGTAGATCATGCAAAAGATCATGTGGACAATCTTCAATTCGAGAGAAATTCCATTCTTCAGCATCGGAACGGTGGCTCTTTATTGCGCATCGTTACGCTTCCGCAGGACGTATGTGCATTCGTTGGGAAAATAATTTCCCTTGTCATCTGTTATACGACGCGCGTAACGAGAGAGATCACTTCGAAATTTTTCGCTCGCGAGGAATTTGCGCGAAGAGAAAATGAACGGTTCTGTCGAGCCGAATGACTGTTCGTCGCGAAAATAATAACGCGCAGTAAAACATCCGGCGATGGAAATCAATACCCGCCGCTGACTGCCCGTCGTGTTTTACATAATTTTCGAGGAGCGTCCGAGGAGCGCACGACCGAAAGATGGAACGATGGAAAGAGAAACGGCGAAAGTTCCTTTGCTCTGGGAAAGGAGTTGCCGCTCTATGAAAAAGACTGATCCTTCGGGGTCAAATAAAATAGATTTAAATCCCGCTCGGTCCTCTCGCCTGGAGAATACCGGCTCTTTTCCTCCGTTTTACGCCGTCGCCCCTTACAAGTGAAGTATAAGAATCGGTATGATAATTAAATAGAGGGTACAAGGGAAATGCATACTTGGCGAAGAAAGTCATCGTTGAATCTGTGATAATAGAAATTCAGTCTAGTCCCAGCTCCGCGGTTTGTGAAAAGTTTCCTTGCGAATTAAGCAACAAAATATTTGCAACGCAAAACGATTTGCAAAAGCCTCCTGTAATGTGTGCAAGTGCAATATTAATGCGACTGGTGATTAATACGGTGCAACAAATATTGGCAACTGCGCTGCTCGCCGGCTATTATTGCGTCATGCTGCTTTAATAATATCCATTATTGTTTCATTATTAATAATACGCACGTATTTGAACGTGGTAATGATGATACCCTGTAAGCTTATTTCGAGCCTTCATCATAATCGGGCCGCATTAGCATAATTACTCTTAAACGATCGATCTCGGCACGCTCGCGTTTAATGATGCCGATACTGCGCTTGTGGATACGTATACCATCAAAACGTTACGTCTGTATTCGCGATTTTTCACAATTCAAGATTTTTCATCCTCGCATTTGACTTAAAGTTCAATTTCACTTCCCGCTTGAATTGAATATTTTCCAAACTAAACTAATGGTTCCGCGGCGAAACGGATATTGCAAATTAGATATCATAGTATTCCATGACTGGAATGTTAACATTTCATTCTGCAAACATTTTATCTCGCATTTACGAAAAGCAGTTAGCACGTAAAATCGGAAAGATCTACGTTTAAAACGTGAAGGTAAAAAATTTAGAGCCAAGAGAAAATCTGCTCCAAGTTTGAGAATATTTAGTTCACATACAGAGGACCGAAGAAATTTGCGAGGAATTCGTTCAAGGATTATACGGTCGCACGTTGAGCCGGAGGAGCTCCTTTTCACGCGAGTGTACGGAGAGGAAAGAGAGAGAATATGAAAAAGAACAGAGAGAGAGAAAGAGAGAGAGAGAGAGAGAGAGAGAGAGAGAGAGAAGAGAACAGCGCGCACCACCCGCCTACGTGGCGCTTAATGACCGGGAGCGCGAAGTGCAGTCAGCCGCCGTAAATTATCCGTTCGGTCGAAGGCGAGTCTAAAACGCGGATCCAATAGACGAGAGCGGAATCGAGCGACGAAGCGCGGCCGACATTACATTGGTCGGCTGCCAGAGCTGGAGAGAGCCGGCGAGTTCATCCGACATTAGTTACGTCAGCCGCGCGCCACATCGAGCGCGGCGTGGCGATGGTTCATCAGGATGAAGTAACCGAATTCTCGTTGACACGTGCATCGGTACAGCGTACGTAGAGTGGAGCAGCAGGCCAAATGGACCATCGGCAGCGAATAACTCGATTTGCTCTGTCTACGCGTACTCCACTCGACTGTCCGAAGGGTAGGTAGATAGGAGGTGATCAGACCAGAGAAGGATAAAACGAGATGATACGAGAGAGTGAAAGGAAGGTATAGGAGACGAGTAGTTAGATAGTGAGGAAGGAAAGAAGCGACGGAAGGAAGGAAGGAAGGAAGCGAGTTATCGAGACAGTAGTGTCACCATAGTCGTACAGAGATGCCCAGTCGTCGAGCAAACTAGAGGGCCAGTCTCAGAGCCAAAGAGGTTCAGTCAGCCAGCCAGCCAGCCAACCAACCAACCAACCAACCAACCAACCAACCAACCAACCAGCCAACCAGCCAGACAGCTAGCCTGCCTGCCTGCCTGCCAGCCAGCGAACGTACGTACGTACGAGCGAGCGAGCGAGCGAGCGAGCGAGCGGACGAGCAAGCGAACTAGCAAGTTCTTGTTTATTCAGTCGGGATCATAAATTACGAATTTAAACACACAATGAAAGACGCTTAACAAGAAGCTAACGCGAGATTGAGAGGCCCCGCCCGGAACACCTCTCCTTCCGGTGGAAAACCACCAGGCCGACCAATCCGACGGCGGTACCGCCCCCGGGCACTTAAACGACCCACGGACGGCACGCCAATCGACTCGCGTCGAGGGCCGACCCAGCTCTCCCTCCGCCGCGGCGGTTTCCGGAACGCGCGCGCGAGGACGAGGGCAAGGACGAAGGCACGGGAGAGAGACTCGATCTCCCGCCGGAGAGAGAGCGTGCGCCCGATGCACCCTGCCCGCACACCATTTGGCGACGCGGCGAGTCACTCGGCGAGGATCCCGTACCGTCGCGGCACGGACGACGACGACGACTTCCTGGTCGCGCGTGTCGATCGCCCGTCAATGACCAGTTCAAATCGAAACGATCCGTGACTGATCGTTTTCCGATCGTTCGTTCTCCATGTCATCGCGTGGGACCGGCGGCGAACCGGCGGCTGCTCACGGTGTACGGTGACTACTTGTCCACTCATCGATCGCCCACTCGCAGAACCATGGCGATCAGCGATTGATCTGGGGGAGATATCGGTGGAACGGAAGAAACGAAAACGGAAAAGGGTAAAGTGACAGAATTCGTTCGCACCATTCGAGAACAGTGCCATTCGCGGTCGTGATCGCGTTCGCGGTGAGTGTCCTGTGTCGTCGGTGGTTCGACGTCGACGTTGTTTAAGCGCACAGTGAGACGATCGTCACCGCGTGGTGTACATTTAACAGCCGAACAGCCGAACATCGCCACGGGACTTCCTCCCCGGCACGGCGGGTGGTCCTCGGAAATCCCTCCGCGAGGAGGACTCCGCGGCTCCGAAGCGGCCGCACGCCTCATCCAACGCGCAGCTAACCACCGGTTAAGATTTTTCGCTCACTACCGAACTATGCGTGGTGCGAGATGGTGTGTTCTCTGACCAGCGGCAAGGCCTGCGCCGACACCGGAGACCCGTGCCCGGATCCGCCATCGCGCTCCACGCCGGAGGGCGGCGGACTCGAGATCGCCGAGAACATGTCATCGTCGCTCAGCGACGCGCACCGACGCAACAACAACCACCATCTGGACCAGGGCGACCGCAGCTCATCCGCGGGTTCCTCGCTGGGCTCGTGCTCGCCACCGCCCGCCTCGAGCCATTCGCCGCCACCCCCGCGGCCGCCCTGGCTTCACGACTTCCACGCGGCGGCCGCGCCCCATGTTTTGCAGTTTCTCAATCTAAGCGCCGCCGGGGGTGGCATGCTCGGTAGCCAACCGCTGGCAGCGCTGCACTCTATGGCGGAGAGGAGTCACCAGCATCAACAGCAACAGCAGCAACAGCAGCAGCAGCACCAACAACAGCAGCAGCAACAGCAGCAGCAACAACAACAGTCGCACCAACAGCAACATCATCCGCCGCATCAGCAGCAACAGGGCGGCATCCAGTTGCCGCGTATCACGATGCCGCCGTTATCCACCATCACGCAGGGCCAATCGTCGCCCACCGGCAGCGGCAAGCACAGCCCGGCGACCTCCATCACCTCCGTTGGCAGCAATCCGCACGGCATCGACACGATACTCTCGAGACCGACGGCGACGGTCCATCCCCAGGCGACGGTACCGCCGTCGCACGCGACCCTGCCACCGACCCCGCATCCCCAGCACATGGCCGCACCGCGGTACGCCATGCACGCCGGCTTCACGGCGTCTTCGGGTGCGTATTCTCGCCTTTCTAAATTCAATCATTTGAATATGAGTGATACGATTATGTATCAAGGATTGCTCATTTGAACGATCCGTGTCCTTCCGGACGGACGGACTGTTATGGAGAAAAAGAATCTGAACATTTGAACATTTGCAATTTAAGCATTTGAAGCTTTTGAAGAAGTTTTCTTGAAAAAAGATGTGAGAAACTTTCGTCTTTCCATCGGAATGCTTAAGATATTTAAAACGCGAGTTAGAATTCCTCCCTTCTCTTCTATCCATTATGTCTTGAATATTCGATATCACTTGCAGATGGATTTTTTGGAGTTAATTAAATTACGAAAAAGATAAATACAAAGATATAAACTATAAAGATAAATGTAATATTTGTAATTCTAATTGCATTTGTTCCATTTGTTATGTTTATTCTATCTGTTATAAAATGATATATTAGACAGTTAGAAATCCTATGTGAAGAGCCAATACATAATGGTCATGTTCTTTTTATCATAAATCATATTATATATATTTTTTTTAAGATATAAACATTCGAGCTAAACTTAGCTCGGTTTTTAGGAACGGTTTAATTTTTGTAATACGTAAAAAAGCCAGCGATCGAGATGGAAATATTTAAAAATATTTAAAAATATTTTACAAACGTGGAACGGAGATAAATGTCAAGGGTTATTGATGCTTGTTAGAGTTATATTAGTAACAATGATAACAATTCGGTAGCCATTCGCGCGTTTGCGATAGAAAATCGGGGGAAACCGCTGTTCTCCACGCACAAATCGTCGCGTGCTGCGATAGCATGCGTGTAATGCGGGACGGATTGAACGCATTAATCGTAGAATTACCAAGGGCGGTCGATCGAACAAGCGCGGGCCAGACGAAAGCGCGACTAGGAGTTACGAATCTATTACGAAACTATCTGTGCATTCGATACGATCGGCCGGCGTATAATTCACGGATTTACATAGTCGGAGTCTGATTTTCCACTTTGATTCGCGCGAATCACTATCGCCCGTTTTAACTCATTCTAGCCTAACGGAGAGATAAAATCCCGAGCGTGGATTTTGATATATTTGGCGAGACGAATAAAACTCGCACGGTGAAATCTCACGTAAATAAAGAAAAACACGAGAACGGAAATAGAAATTGAGAAATAAATTATAATGGAAATGCTCTGAAATGATGCGATGATCTCACGAACAAAGACATAATTTACATCGAAATTTCTCACGGAAAAGTCGAGAACACATTACATGAAGAGTTCATAAAGAAGAATCTCGTTCTTTGTGAAATACATTTTTTTGACGTAAATGCACGAGCTTTCAATTCACTTTTTACAATGTCACTTCCTTGTGTTTTGTTGTTGGCGGTCTGCGCCATCAAGACCTCGTTTGTGATGTTGCAAATGCATAACTTTTCCATCGGGTGGCGCGCGACAAAGCAGAAGGCGTTTGTCATCGCCTTGAAAGTTTGTGAAAAGATGTCAAGAGCGTATTCGTGCAACATTTAACTTCGAGTATACATTAAGCTAAATATGATGCAGAACACATTACTATTATTATTTGACACTAAATTATTTGGCGTTAACAATGACATTCGCGTCCACAAAAATGTATAACACGATTCAACAGAATTTATATCTCGAATCAATAAAATTATCAAGTACTCATCAAGATGTATCAAATCATTCTTTAATAAATTATGGTAATTCATTGATCTTTATAATTGGTAACTTATTTATCTTAGAATGGGAATTATATAAATTTATAAAAATCACATTTTGAATGAAAATTTTTTCCGCGTTTCTTTTTACGCGTCACTTTTCATTCTTCGACTGTCAGATATATATTCAAACATCAATTTCAGAATTATCGGGGGGTCGATGTTACAAGGGAGGGAAGATAGGGTCGTATTATGAAGTTGCTCACAAATAACGTGTCGTACAATATCACGGTGATATCAGAGACGTGGATTTAATTCATAAACGCCGGTATCACAGTGTACAATCTATAATCTGTTAAAATGATTTTATTGCGCGTCTTTTATCTAAATAGAATGTCACCTAAATATAACCGATCAAAATGGAGTACTTGAAAATGTAACATTCGCACAATTAATAAATATTATATTAAAAACTTTTCAAATAAATAATACAAACATACTAATATCACAGAAACATTTTATAATGTTATAATATTTATATTTTATTTTGTACTCAAATATTTTGTAAAAATAAAACTTTGCCTAATCTTAAACGAATAACGAGAATAAAAATAACGGTTCGTATTCTGATAAATAATTATTGCAAGATTGATTAAACGTCGGCATTACATTATTTCATTCATTGTTTCGGTCAAGTAACCAACAGAACAATCTGTATACTGTACTGGCAAATGGCAATTAATTAAAGGCAAAAGTGCGAATAAGAATTGCAGCATGAGTTTGATTGAAATATTGACCGGAAGGGGCAACGGACGCGGAACGGCGGCTCTAAAATTTATGCTTACCGAATTACCTGCTCTCCCCCGGTACATTAACGAGCGACGCAAACGAGGGACGTTACTTAACATTCATGACATTAAATTTCTAAATGATTTGCTCCCGACAGAGCGCGATTATATTTCGTAATAACGAATCGCTAAACAGCGCGCGCTAATATATCCGCGATTTATACGTTCCGCATGTCGAAATGTGCTAATCGAGGCATCGCGAGCTCGATTTTATCGCGTGATAATACGATATATGCGCACATAATGTAACGAGGAGGATAACGCACGATAACTTCCGCGAAATTTTATACTAGTCTCAGATTAAGAAGAATTCTCGTTCAACTTTTATCTTCTATTTGTAATTTCTCTCCATTTTTATATGTTAAACGTCGATTTTTCTGTCATAACGATATTGACAATTTGATGGAAAGCTTAATGAAATTTAAGTAAATAAAGAAGAAATTGAAGAACTATTTTCATTTCCTTTTAACAATATATCTTTAAATCAACATTTTTGATATTTTTAATTATTTTGTTCTTGTTGCAATTTTTGCTGATAAAATTTCAGTCTTTTTATCAATGTGCGATTTTTAGAAAGCTGAGTCGCATCTCAAGATGCATTTTACTGATTATTGCGAGAAAGTGAGAAAAGAATTAGGAAAAAATGTAGGAACCGCGGATGGTTGTGTTTACAATCGAATGCGAATTATTTGATGGCCAAATAGGGCGACCAAATACGAGCGGAAGTTAGGATATTGCGGGTTAACCAACTGACGACCATGCTCAATACGCGGCTTGGTGGCGAATTCAGATTTCCGCGAGAGGATGCATGAGCCCTTGGTCCACTCGCGGCGAAACAAACAAAAAGAATGCGTTAAACTACAATGTTGAAACGTTGCCGAACGCAAAACGACAATGATAAAAAAATAACGATAACGGGAGAACGCGTATAAATTTAATGCTGCGTGCTATAGATCTGGCACAAGAGTAACATTTGAAAAATAAAAACAAGATCAAATCGCGCTAAAGCTCGCCGCAAATATATCGTTCATTACTCCATCCTCGTAGAAAGAAAACTAAAAAAGAAAAAGAAACGGGAATCATATCGGGATGCGACGCGGCGCGCGAGCAATTCAATTTTGGAAAGTTACGCCGCAAAAATATCGCAGTTACGTTCTTGCGTCGTTCTTCGTGACGAATTACATCCCACGGAATTTTTGCGACGTCGATGAAACCGCGGAATTATTATCGTCGCTGCCTCGGCAACGCCCCTCTCAGAATTGTTATTCTACGCGTTTTACACGACCTGTCTGATCGATTTCGGGGGAAGAGATAACACGATGGATCTGACGTCACCGCCATATATCGCGGAAATTAGGATCGGACATTTGTGGCGGAAACCGGCACTTGTGCCAAAAGCAGGGTGACAGTTTCTACAAGTATACATCCCGAAAGCAACGCCCATCGGAGTCGAATATCATGAGGCGGGTATGTTTATCCTGAAAGCAGATATCCACATCATCCTAGAAAAGAAACTGCCCGAGACACGCCATGTGCCTCCTCTCTCACGTGTGTCTTTCATCTTTTTATTGCCTGTAATAGAAAGCTCGGAAAATATTGTGTGACATCTGCTCTGGTTTCTATATCATAAATTACGGTGTTTTCGTCCCCCTTTTTAAAGCTCACACGCTCGCGAAATCTTGAAGCCTTCCTCGCATCTCTCGCGGCAATAAGGCATTTTCTCTTTTTTTATACGGCGATACAGGACTATGTGATTCACGGAAAATCCGAAAATTCCTGCGCAATCTAGTTGCCGTCGGTAACTGCATTAAGAGGCGCCTCTAATGTCCCATGTCGCTTGCAATAAACGCAGCTACCTACCTGGAATAAATTCAAGAACGACTAATGAACACGGGAATCGATAGAGAAGCGAGACATTTCTTAAATACATTTATTTGTTGTTGAAATGGGAAAATCGCAGAACCTGCTTTCGCAGGATTATATTTATATTAAAAAATTAGCACCGCCGAATAATCCAACAATGAAATTGCGTCATACGCACTTCTTCAAAATAAAAATCTTTTACACATTAATATCTCGACATCTCGGCATCTCTCTGAATATTTTGCAAAAGTGCTTTGAAATTAAAATGTTGAGTATTTTGAAATGGCGATACGCGCGTACGTATATTCGCGTGTATAAAATGCGCGTTGTAACGAACGCAACACGCAAAATTTCGGCACGGCGAAATAAAATAGTCATATATATCGTTATTGTGTAATCCTGTCAAGTACATTTGCGATATTTACCTGTCAAATCGGCGCGACGTACACGCCCAGGTGTTCTGGTGCATGTGCGCGTTACAATGGCGCGCATCGAAACTACCGGCCGTAATTCGCGTAATCGTATACGGTTTCAATAACGGTTTAATGGGTAACCGACTTCATTGTCGTATTAGACAGATTACGTCGATTACAAATACGACGAGCAGCGGCGGCTCGTATTTACGACGCGAATTCGGTGGCGTGCGAGTTCCGCTTTGTTAGAATTATAAACA